CAAAGAGGTGCTCCAGCGTTTCCAAGCCCCTGAAATGAGTCCCAAATGCTGCAAAACGGACACGTTATGCATATTAACTATAGGAAGTGCTTGATCATTTTCCCTCAGTATAGCTCCCATTAATTCAATGCATGCTGCCTGATGCCTCTGCCGCAGAGTGCTACAAATCAGTTTTAATAATTCATTTTTAATGTTTAATATGCACATATTACACAAGATACAGTAGCTATCCAGCAGGGTATTGTATGGACTAACTCTTTGATGGGCTGCTTTTTTATCCGGTGTTGTCAAACTAGAGTGGAAGTGAGAGCTTCTCTATGAGGACAGGAACAAACAAATGGCAGCGATGTGGAGAAGATGTTTAGAAGAGTTTTAGAAGAGACCTTTTGAATGTTAAAAAAAAGCAAAAAAGAAAACTTTCCCCTAGGCTACAGACATAGCTGGATAAAGATTGGCAATAAACCATGGCCTGTGTAACCTGGGAAAAGAAAACAATTGCTGGAAATCTTCTGCAGTGAAAAATGTGTTGTTTTAAAAGAACGTCCTTTGAGGTCATGATTGCTGAGATGTTGAGAGGATTCCGCACTCTTTAAAATAGAGGTTTTTAAATGGTTATTGACATGGATGTACAGCTGTAGAACCTCAAATTGGTATAGAATTTTTACATTAGAAACATCTCATTTACAGAAATGGTTCTTCTTTAAAGGAGAATGGTTCTTGACAGGCTTTTGAGCGAACCAAGGTGGTTTTTTAGTGGCATCACCGTAAAGAGTGGCATCTATTTTCAAGCGGGTGTGGGTAAATGACAAATAAAGATTTTAAAATGATAATTTTGGAAATTCTAAATTAAAAGCAATTTTAAAATAAAGATATATAATGTGCATTTTTGTGTTTGCAAGAATTTATTCAATGTGGTTTTTGAATATTTGTTTCATTCATCCATTATTCAGCTTTTATATTGGTACACAACTAAAAAAGTTTCTTCAAGGGTTCTTTAGTAAAGAAAATGGTTCTATATAGAACCATGAAGACTCAAATAACAAGTTGCATGCTTAAATGGTTCTTTGCACGGTGAAATTGTTCTTCAGATTAATGTAGGATGTGTTGTATATGGTTCTATAAAGAACCTTTTTGAAAAGAGTTCTTATGTTGTTACAAGCTTGACATCACAACAATAGCAGAACCCATTTAGGTGCTACGTAGAACTCTTTTCAAGACGGTTCTAAATAGAACCATTTACAACACATTCTACATCTACAGTACATTCTCCATAAATCTGAAGAACTATTTCACCATGCAAAGAAGCAATTAAGCATGCAAAGAGTTCTTTGAGTGTTCTATTTTCTTTACTAAAAACCCTTGGAGAACCATTTTTTTAAAACGTGTATGCATTAATTTAAAGCTATGCATATTGTTTATGCACCATGATAGGTTGCATGCATACTAAGAAACGAAAATAAAAGCCTCTTCTCTAACTCAAGAGAGAAGACGTAAGGGTTCCTATATCAATGATTCACGGCATGGCCTGGAGGAGAACTGAACGAGGTTCCTTCGTGGTTTGGCAAGGCATTGAAGAGGCGTCTTGGGCTGCCTGTCCATGTCCAAAGAGTCAGCCAGGTGCACTGATCTGCTAAGAATGAGGAAAGACAGGACAGCCTCTGAAGCTTCATAGGACTCCCACGAGGGAGTGTTTCAATGGTGTTGGACAAACTCAGCAGCCAAATGCATTGTGGCCTGTCTATGGGATTTCTGTCTGACTCACTGTCTGTCAGCCTGGCAAAATCACAGCAAGTGTCCATCTTACCATTTTGGCATGCAGTTATAAATGTAAACTTGCCAGGCAACCAGACACTGACCTGCATTATAGGCCTACTTCATGCATTTACTTTGGCCTCTTTAATGGCATCACCGTGATCACTGTACAAGTCACAGAAAGTGTGGCGGAAGAGCACGACACAATCTAACATGGGGTAAAGTATAATACGGAGTAACAGTTTCAAGCTCTGTTTGTCATGTTCTCATATCCCCATAGCAAAGTCATCGTTGAATTTTGACAGCAATTGGATGCACCCTGAACTATATTCATCATAAGTGTTTTTAAATGAGCTGTGTGTACACACACACACATCATCTAAACCGCTTATCCTACTGGGTCGCGGTGGGGTGCTGGAGCCTGTCCCAGCTGTTGAGTTGTGTGTATAAGGCACTAAATTCACACTATTGTGAATTTGTGGAGCCTATAATATAGCTTTGCTTTAATGCATATAAATAACTCACAGTGAGAGCCGGCCAGGCTAAAATACAGCCTCCACATGGTGGAGGTAGTTTTACTGCAGTGTTACCCTTAAGCCTTCCATGGGAAACAATGGTTCACATTCTGCCATTTAAATTAAAAACAGTCTGGTTTTAGAAGTAATTACCCACAGATTCATCAAAATTATAGATGCCAAATAAAATACATTTCAATTTGTCATACTATTGTATATTGTTCTACTGGCTAGAATTAAATTTGCCATGTTTGACCCACTCTCTTGTCACAATCATATTTATTTTGATAAATGTATTTTGTGTATTGTATTGTCGATATAGAATAAGCCGCAGAAAACATTGTGCCCATGGGTACATGCTCTTTTATGTTGAACAGGCATCTCAGCAGGCAGTACAAAATGCTCAACCCAGGGCTATCCCAGACACAGAACACATGGAGGAGGTAACATGGGAGGACATGACATTCGAGGAAGGTACACACTTCCAAGTACTCTCCTCAGACACAAATACACTAGTAAACACAACCACACTCATCACCAGCAACAGCAACAAAAACAGTCCCTTTCTAGACTGGGAGTGTGGCATTTCCCAAGAGCCACTTTGCATGGCCACACCCCTCTAAGTTCCTCACGTCAGTGCAGCCCGTAGTGGACATCAAAGCATTTTGGTTGGAAAGCTTGTCTGGTTCAAACCACACCGAATTGTACTGAATTTAGGTACTGAAAAAATAATGAAAAAGTGTTTGTATTGATTACAGACTGTAATAATTAACACCTATCTGTTACAATTAACCCTGTCTATGGGGTTAATTGTAACACTTGTGCTGCTTTTGGCTGGATTGTTCGTAAACAGCAGGTGCTGGAGCCAAGTTTACGTTCCCACTTGTATCAGAAAAATATGGCTGCTTGTACAGAAAAAAAATGATTACACTTGCTCAAAAACTTTTAAAATCATTAACCAAAGGCCAAAATGTGTTTTGCCCTGCTGTCCCCTACTCAATACAAATAAATTGTTTTAGGTGTTACATATTTCCATTCAGTCAAATAGAGTAGAGTCAGCATGAACAGACTTTGTTACTTTAACATAAAGTGCAATTGACTGCCCACCACTGCATTTTTGCAGCAACTGTTGCAAGGTTGGATAAGAACACTGGCAAAAATCCCATTCAACTTGTACTTTTGTAGAGCTTTAGTTTAAGGTTGTTAGAGTTGAGTTTCCAGTTCCAAATGCTATGTTACTAAATTAGACTATGTTGTTGTGACTAATCAAATCTAGCCAGGTTGGGAATAACTACAACAAATTTGCCACCATACTAATGACTATCTATCCTAGACGTATGACCTTTCAGTCACATTCAAAATATATAACCTAGCATTTGAAATTAATAACACCCTCTACACTTAGTTATTGTTACAAAATCAGTGTTGTGAGCTACAATTTCTCATTAGGTTGAATGCATTTTTGCTGTAAACTTATCCAGCCTACAGTTTCTTAAAAAATGCATTTGTGGGCAGAGCATGGATACATCAGCTGTAATTAATGTTGATGTGTTTTCATTTGGAAGTCAAAATATGTTGATTTTTGAGTGCAATTGTCTAAATGAGGGCAAAATAATGCAAAAAAACTAATTGTTGCACTATTTTGAATCAATCCACTGGGTATAGCTGAACAATCAAAACAATTTGACAGCACATCATTGTCAAGCCAAATGAAGACTGATTGAAGCTTCATTTCACTATTATCTCTGACTGGCTGGCTGACTGACGGGGGGAACTTTAGCCTAAGCTGTAAGCTAGCTTCTGAACTAATATTCATTTAAATAAATGAGCGGAACGCTTGGCTGAGTCATGCATAGCTTTATGAAAGGGAGATTTCACAGGCCAGTGGCTGTATATTTAAAACTCTGTCACCATAGTCGCAAATCCAATATGAGGCACTGGGAGAGAATTCCCTTGGTGCGTTAGATGCACAAACTGAACACAACAAGGAGCAGAACTTCTCTGGGAGACCCAAACAGCTCTGCAAATGTTCCAGACGTAGACTAGTCTATCCACAAATAGCAAGTTTCTTCAGTAAGAAGCTGACAAACTATGTGCATCTGAGAGCAAGAGGGTTTGAATCTGACGTTCTCTGCAGAGTTTTGCTTTAATGCTTGGAGAGGTGGTGACGACAGCGCAAACATATTCAAGTGAGAGCACAAATGCCCTCATATGGGGTGATATGAGGGAAAAGATTCATTGGAAATGCTCTGTTAATAATTGTCAGCCAGATATACAGTGGCAAAAAGCAGGTGTGGCATTCACACTGGGGTCCATAGCGACTGGCCACCAAGAATGTCTTTATTGGACCCCTTATAGCACTGCATATGCGGTTTTACACCCATGAATCATGGAAGCTCCAAAAACTTTGTAATATACTTCAACCATCAGCCTGCAATAGAGTCCCAACTTGGTTGAGACAAAGTAAACAAGGAAATTGGATTGATTTTTTTATTGATTCAGTGTATCTTTTGTATGAGTTGGTTCATTTGTTTTGTTCGCACTGGGGCCTATAAGATCCTAGTAATGCCACTGCAAATATACCTTTCCCACCTCAGGCCATTCCTAAAGAAAGGACAGCTTTATCACACCTGAAAAAAAAGGACGCCTCCACATATGCCTGCTAGACAGTTGTGTAAAGCAGATGGTAGATAAGAGTTTCAGGTTGTTTGCTGCTGTTGCATAAGGGCCAAACTTCCCCTACTGTTACAGGGCATGCAGTCCGCCTACCAGAGCGGCAAGTTTGCGCCGAAATCAATTTAGCTCCCAGCTACATCCTGCTGACTTTCCATCTCCTCGCCTCAGTCCACTGCATACAGGAGACGGAAATGAAATCACTGGCTGTGTGCGTGGATAACTACCACCTGCTCTCTCACAACCGCAACACCACCCACCTCTGATGGTATTCTGCGGGTGAACCACCAGGGAAACTCACTCCTGACAAGCAGCACCCGTCAACACACCTGCTGAGCAGTCAAAGATCTCCCAGCAGTGGCCTGGTCCAGCAAAGGGAGACACTGATCATGCTACCAGGTAACCCCCATTTCTGACAGTGAGAACCCGTGCTGTCCCAGAACAGTGACACTGATGGTATAGATCTACACATTCCAGCATCAGTTGGTGGGGTGCAAAGCACAAATGAGCAGCTCAACATGGATTGAGTTTGAGCAGTGTTTGCTCTACATTGTTCTCTCTACTTTCCTTTGATGACTTCCTAATGAGCTATTTTTAGCTTCCGACATAATGTTGCTGTTTAATTTAACCTTCAGGATTAATGGCAATAGTGGGTCCATGCATCAAAGTTTCCTTGAGGGGGAAATCTGGATCTCCACATGGCTTCATCAAAGTGAACATAAAGGCTTAGAATAGTTTTCAGTCATTAGACTTTAGGACTCACTACGGATACTGATTTTCTAATAACTACTAACTGTTCTAAAATTGCATCTTTCATTTTAAAGTGGAAGCCAACTGATTATTGCTCATTTCAACTCTTTTAAAAGTAGGCGTCTTGTGTAACTAGTGTATTTTAAATAGATCAGTTTTAGTTGTAGGTTAGGACTCATCAAGAAAACTGTTTTACTACTACTACTAATTTACTACTCAAGTAAATGAGTAGTATCACTGCCACTCCCCAACATGCATCACACATTTGTCTATGGCAGTCTATTTTAGGCATAGTATTAGGAGGATAATTCAGGCTAAGGGCCTAGTTTTGATCAAGAATAGTATGGCTTAACACTTTTACTACTGATTGCTCAACCGGGAATTACTGAATAAAAGAATAATTCTGTCTGCTACTTCAACAATTTGGACAGCATGACATTTTTCACAAATAGCGAATTAAAAAAAGATCAGCCTCGTTATGAATGTTAAGTGTCTATATGAGAAGATTTGTGCCATTTACAGCCTGTTAACGCTATTCGATACAGTTTTCTCTGTTACAGAAAAGACGTTGGTACGAATTGGTACCGCTATTTGCGTTATTTCTCGAAGGCCCGCCTCCCTACGCTGTGATTGGTTAGTAGTACACCGCCACCTGTGCTGGGATTGGCTAATTCACACTCATCAACAGTTCTTCAACTGGGTGGTATAGTTCCCCTCTACCTGACCTAGCTCCCATCAGTCAGGCTGCGTCCAAAATCGCATATTGCCATAATAAATACTATGTCAAAATTAGTACAGCAGTGCTAATATAGTACAGTGGCGTCTTTGAGGAGAAGAACCAGAGAAGGCCATAAATAGTGCAGGTAGAAGCGAACTACCAGACAATCGAAGAACTCCTAATGAGCACGACCCATTAGCCAATCCCGACACAGGTGGCTGTAAACTACTAACCAATCGTAGCGCAGGCAGGAGGTGCCTGTCAGAATACGGGTGTGAAATAAAAAAACACGCGTTCGAACGTTCGCCAGTTCATTCAGCAGCAGCGTCCTCGAGCAGCGACTCCACTCTCACGCGCACAGCGTCGGCGCGAGGCGCAAGTGCGCGCGCCGAGGCTCAGGGCGACTGTTAGAGAAGCCGTGAGGGCGGAGGAGGCTGCGGCGGTTTCTTTATAGCGCATTTAGCGCGTGTTTTTGTTTGTTTGTTTGTTTTATTGTTCCCGTCCGCCTCGCTTCGCCTCCGTGTGTCGGAACCGAAGGGGCGAGGAGGAAGAGGAGGAGGAGGAGGAAGGTGGTAGAATGGGCGAACCCCTCAGGTTTTCACTCTAACTCTGGAAATGGAGCCCACATTCCCGCGGGGAGACAAAGGTAGCCACAAACTCTGCTTTCCTTTTTTCTCCCTTAGCCTCGTCGTAGCGACAGTCGTTTGCTCTTTTGGTCCGGTACCGGCTCTGCATTTAGGGCGAACCGAGTAACAGCACAGACTGGACATGACGACAGGTTTCTCACCTGCCCCTGCACTTGTTGAGTGGACGTGAACGTGAATCGTAAACGAGCAAGGTTACCGCATTAGCACTGGTTGCTCGGCTCTGAGTCTGTCCTGGGCTCAGATACTGGTTGTGGGCTGGTTACTGTGAGCGTTATAATGTCCGGCCGTTGTCTTGTCTATCGTCAAAAAAGTGTTAATGGCAGTCTGTGCACTCAGCCTGTATCACAGGGTACATGCCATGGTGTTTAAGCAGCCACTTCTGTTAGCACATTAATGCACACACTGTGTGGACCGCATTAACCAACTGTTTGCCTGTTTTCGTCTCTGATGTTCAGTCATCCTCCCGGCAAACCTGCTGCAGGCTTTCTCCACTTCAGGATTACATCATTTGTTCACTGAAGTTACATTATCTGCTCCAGGAATCATATCTAACATGGTTGTCAGTTTGGCCACTGCTTTTTCCCTGCAGTGATACTTGCCCTTCTTGCTCGGTCCGAAGGCTGCAGTTCACTTCATGCATCTTAATTATTTTTTATTCCCCATCCTCATGTGTCAAGTGTTAGAACTGTAGCCCAGGACTGTATGTGATTGTTTACTCTGGGTGAGTTAGGTGGGTTCAGTGGATCTATTTGGTTCATTTCCATAGATTTAGTCACAACCAGACCAAAATCTGGCACCACTGCAGATGTTTATTTTTTGTTGCATGTCCATATAGTCTGCGGCTGCTTACTCATTCAGTGTCCAGAGAAGCATCTAAGCCATTGCACGTAAAAAAGCAGCACCTGGGTTTCTCCAAATGCTCCTGTTTAAACAGTAAATGTTTCGTGATCATGAAAATCATTAGTGTTACAACACCTGCAATTGCACAGGAGACTTCACAGCGTATATTGAATGCTGTAGGTGATTTTGCTATGCACATATGAGTTGATGCATATAGCCGAATTTCAGTGTGTAGTTTGTTTAGCCTGTGTGCTGCAATGACATGGTTCAATACTGTATGCAGTGCAGCCTGCAACACCCTTATTGTGCATCAGGTTCACTGGAAAGTACTTTACAGTGCTGTCTGATCTTCTCCTTAAGATATATGATTGGTAGAGTTGACTGCTTCTTGGCAGAGAATGAGATGAAGAGAAAAGATGGACAGATTTTTACATTTTGTTCTCCTGCCTTTTGAAAATGTCAGATTTCTTGTCATGACAAGCAACCATGAGCTCTGGCAGTGTAGGACTTAACTGTCTTAACTGATTTTTGGAAGGTAGAAAATGCTTCCCTTCTGTCATTGATTTCGACCTTGGGGTTCAACTTCAACAGACTTTGTGTTTTTTTCCCCCCTTGAAGGCTATTTAAGTTGCCCTCCACACAGTATCGTCTTGACATTTTGACGTGTGGCCAGTAGCAGATTCTTCACTGTCATAATTGCAGTGAGTTTTAAAGGGGTGAAGTGTTCAGTTTCTACTTAGGCAAATATCAGAGTTATTCCGTGAGTCCCTTTGGGTCATCAGAGTGTGATAGCTCAAATTGGCAGCTCATTGTTTGATGGTTATAATGGCCGCCTATTATCGGAGCAGCTTTTGAAATTAGGATATTATCTGGAATTATGTCGCTCCCATACTCAAAAAGGGAAGTGAGTCTTGAAATTAAATTTCCTATGAACTAATGTGATTTGCAGAGGCCGAATTTCAGAAAAACTAATGTGATATGTGATTGCAGAAAATTAATTTGGTGTTATTTGTCATGGTTGGCTGTCAAATGTAATTAAAACTGTTGGGAAACTGGGTTTGCTTGTGCCGTGGAAGCATCTCTGTGTTGTTTGAGGAGGTAAACGTGGACGGAGTATAGCAAGGTAATTTGTGTATTTGAGTGTGGAAACTCTGATAACGACAATTGAAGCCGACACAGGTGTCGAGCGAACTGAAACCCATGTAAATACGTCCTCTGCCAATTTCTGACATGTCAAGCTCACTGTAATTCACACACTCTTGCCAGACAGAGAGCATGTAATATGGTTCTTTTCTGCCATTACATACCGTGCAATCTCTACCCGTCCATGCATTGAACTGCTGGATAACTCATTTGTCTCCCTCTTTCTTTCATATCACGGCAACTACCCACACACTGCAGCAAGATCTGCATTCACTTAACCGTTTCTGTGAAGGAAATTTTAATCCATTAATCACTGCTTATTCCTCGGTGTGTTTCTTATGTACAGACTGACTGAATATTGATTTTACTCAATTGCGCCAGTTGAATTGTTTTTTTTTTTCTCCATTAGTTTGGCCTTTAATTAAAAGGATTTAAAAACTCAAATATCTTTAATAAGGTGTCACAACACATTTTGATTTATTGCTTTGACATTTTATACCAGAAAGGTAAACGTTAAATAAACATACATTTGTAATAGATGTTAAATGAATTCTACTTTTTTGGTGAAGCACAGTTTTGAATACAACATTATACAGCAGCCTAGTTTGAATGGCAGGAATTCCAGTTTTCCCCAACAACAATTTGAGTCAGTTACAGTGAGTCACATCAAGTCATCATATATTAATGCCAGTCTGTTCTGAGCTGGATATACTAAGCCGATTTTGCTCTGACGCCACGTTTGCCGGTGGTTTTGAGAGAAATCTCATTGATGTTTAATACCTGAAAAGATGTGCAAAGAAAAGCTTACATTAGACAATGAGTTGCAGTGTTCAAAAAAATCTACAAATTTTCTGCTGCTGCCTGTGTGGGAGAAGATGCTGATGTTCTAAAAATGAGAAAACAGTAAACAAGAAGAAGAACTTGAATATAAATCAGGATCAGACAAATTTAGTTTTGTTTACCTGTGCATGGTATAAGTTTCTGGTCACATTGAATTGGTAACTGTCCCACATATTTTGTTTTAACATTGTATGAGGCTCCCAGTTGTGGATTGACTCCTTATGCTAATCTATAAACCGATTGAAGCCCAGAATCCATGAAAAAGACCTAAATATGTTCTTTTCATTGTGTGTGTCTGAACTTTTGCAAAACTGACAGTGCAGAAGGCAGCCATATGCAAAAGAGCCCTTCAACAAATCACAGTATTTTCATCATGTGTTATGAGCAGGTGTAGAAATTGCCGATTGCCTGGCGTTCCTGTTCACAACATTTTGCGTTTTGGTTGCTAAGAACATAAAGAC